TATATATATCGTTATATATATATATATATATATAAAATTCCTTAATGAATAATAAATATTTTCTTTTTGACAACTTTATAAACTAAAGGAATAAAATGTCATATATTTGCTTTTATAGTAACATATATGAATACCTTGTACTTTTATTGGGCAAAGCATTATCTTTAAAAGATAAATGAGAATATTACATCTTTTAGAAAGAAATAGTCCACTTCAAGAAATAGAATCAGCTTTAAAGTAAGAAGTTGTTTTTTGATGGTTAATAAGCTAGGAACACTTGAGTATTTGCTTTATTGTCTGCTTCCAAATATTTAATTTTTCATTTAAGTATAAAATGAATTAACAGAAGAAAATGCATGTGTATATCACAGTATTGATAATACTTCAAATTAAGGAACATAGTCATAATATTCTAAAATTATACTTTAAAAACTGCAAAAAGAAAATAATTGATTGGTTAAACACAGAAATTCTAAAACTGAGCTGCAAGTTTCAAAGGATTGCTGTTCTGCCTTTAAAATATGTATATTTATGGTAATATCGAATCTATTCTTTGAGTGATCTAAGAAACTAGTTACTAAGTCTATATTTGTAATCACCCAAAATGAATAGTTACTGGATGTTTTTTTTTTACTTTTCAGGCTAAATTTCTAAAAATGATCCATTATACAAAAACTAAATATAGAAAAACTCTCTGTAGAATAACAGAATTGGAAGGTCATCTAGTCCAACCCACCGTTGAGCATTTCTATGCATTTAGAAGTCACTTTTCCATATATCATTTTAGTTTGTCCTTTGAAATGATTACTTTTCAAAAAATATAATATTTAGGACAGTAGTTTTGTAAAACATCTTTTATATATGTATACCTATTCATTAAATTATTGTATTTAAAGACAAAGAGTCACAACCTATTCAATGTTTGTAGGATTTCCTAAAGAAAATTGTGAGTAGATTCTGTAATCTATTTTGCATTTATTTCAGCTGTCTATCCATTGAGATTATCTGTAGTTTAATCCATTCTGCAAGGTAGAATGTATATTGGCTTCTGCAGGAACATAGCATTGGAAGCCAAGTCCTCTTTACAGTCTGGGTTTTGATCTTGAAAGAAAAAATAGGCATAATAGGGTTTTGATAAATTTTAATTGGTTAGATTATGTGTAGCTGTTAACAAAATTTTTATATTTTTTCTTTTTGTAGCTCTGGATCATAGCTCAGTACGTAACTGAAAATGATTGATTCTGTTAAAGTAAGGAGACAGTGCAGTATGGATTTTTATGCTCATTATGAGCAGCTCTGTGCTTTAGAAGGCTCTGCCCCTTTAACATCTGTGAAAGCCAAAAAACTTTATAATATTCTTGATATTAATGCGGATCGTATTAAAGCTGCTGATTGGATACCTCTACTACGTGCAGTCAGACATAACAAGACTTTAACTTTTATTGCAATAAAGAGCTGTCATCATCAGGGTCCTGGGGACTCAGGTAATTAGCCTTTCAAAATGCTATTATATTCTTAAAACTTGAAAAAATGTCAGTTTTTATCACAAATGTGGAATGTAAAACAGTTTTCTTAGCTTTGGTAAACAATGTTAAAATATATTAAGCATTGTCTTGTTTTGTTAAAAAAACAATTGAGCTTAAGAATGTGGTTGTTTCTTTTGTTTTTAATTTTCTAATTGCATTTCTTTTATAACTGCATCATTTCCCTACTCAACATTTCAGCTGGAATTTGTTCTTAGTTTTTATGTTATCTAAAGAGGGAGAACAATGTCTTTTTGACTTCTACTTAATTTGAAATGTCTTTATTATTATCTAATACAGAGGAAATCCGATTTAATTATAAAGTTAACAAGTAGCACATAGTTAACATAGTATATGAATAGTTTGTCTCCTGACACATGTGTTTACTAATACTAAAGCTGTTTTTGTATCTATTTATTAATTTTCTGTTTACTGATATTTAAGCTATTTTTGTTTGTTAGGTCTTGAAAAACAGGGAACAGGTATAAGAAGAAGAATTCCAGCAATTCGATCCAAAGACTTAACTGGACAATTGTCTAAAGCTATCAAAGGTTGTCTGATGGTATCAAAGGCCCTGGGAAAGCTAGAACTACATGGGTTGCTTTTGAGGGAAAAGGACTTAATATTATTGACAAAAGTAAGATTATTAAATTGCAACATATTTTTGATTTCAAGATGTACTTGCTTTAAAAGATTATTAATATTCTTTTTTTTTAAGGGGTTGGCTAATACATCATCTTTGGAGAGACTATCTTTAGCCCACTCACCAATAGGTGATGGAGGTTTAGAAAGTAAGTTTTGCTTTTTCTAAAGAAAAATATATGTCTGAAAAATATATTCTCAAAATAGCACAGTTTGGGGTAAATCCCATATATTTGTTAAGTGTCTATTTATTTGTTCATTTTACATGGCCACCTGCTAGCCAGACAACTCTGTTAACTGTTAAAAAACTGTAAGATGTATATTTAATTTAATACTTTGTTTTAATCTTGTTTTATTTCATTGGCAGAATAAGGCCTTTTACATATTTTTTTGGTAACATTTCACATGATCTGTTGATAGTTAATTAAAATATTATATTGGTTGAAATAGTAAATACTGAGATATACAATAAACTAATATGTAAGGAATAAATGTTTCTTTGACAGCATCTTGCTAGTGGCTGATGCTAACTTAATTTCTCTATAATATTTGGTGCTATCAGGTGCTATCCCCTTGCATGTTTAGAGATATTAAGGGAACAGGGTTATCATATGTAGAAAATCTATTGGTGCTGTTAAAAATTCACCAATTTCATCATTCTCTTCCTCTTGTGGCAGTAAATTTTCTATTCATAACTAAGTTGTCTGTGATTTGAACCATATGCTTGAGATCAATTTTGCCTAGGTAAACATGAGAGTGATCAGTTGATTTTTGTCTTGATTGTAAACTCTCCTATTTATTTATAAGCTTAATTTTAGTAACAGATTTGCCACCAATATTTGCCACATACTGCTAAATACTATTTTTTTAAGGGATGGAGAAATATTATTTTATAGGGAATAAAAAAGACATGATTGATGTAGAAGAGATGCTTTAATTTCCCCATTTTTCATGATATGCATGTTGTCTGGCATATGTGGTTCATTTAAATTGGATTTATTTTTTATATGCAAGAACAAAAGTTGCTGTACAATAGGGTTTTAAAATTCCAGTTTACTATATGATGTGAAATATATGTAGCTAAGTCTGAGATGATAAGTGTAAGCCAAATATAATGTTTTTATGTAGAAGTACTTTCTTCCCACTTGTACCACCACCCATCCTGCCAGACTAGATGTTAAAGGCATGGGTGGAGATACTGGAGGAGGGAGCTTCCGTCTTCCAGTGATAGAAGAATGTTCCATCAGCAAACATGAACTATTAGAGCCTTTAAATGAAGTACTATCATTTTACTTTAAAAAACTACATTTAAGATGAATAATGGAGTTTGTTTGTTTTCAGTAATTTGTCAGAGTGTGAAGAATTCGGCTTGCATCAAATCTATAGATTTTACAGGATGCAGTTTAACCTGGCGAGGAACAGAACACATGGCCAGCATCCTGAAAGTAAAAAAAAAAAAAACTTTGTATAAAACTTACTTAAAGTTTGATTACAGGTAGTCCATGACTTACAACCACAATTAGGACTAGAATTTACATGGTAAGTCAGTGTGGTTGTAAAGTGAGTCATCATATGATGACTCAGTTTTACAACCATTTGTATTGTAAATCAAATCACTGAGTTGTTAAGTGAATAATGAGATCATTAAGTGAATCTAACTTCCCCAATTGACTTTCCTTATTGGAAGACGGCTAGGAAGGTTACAAATTGTGATCATGTGACCACAAGACTGCAACCATTATAAATGTGAACTAATTGCCAAGCCTCTGAATGGCAAGTACCTATTGAGTGCGTGGTATAATGTTGTAACTTTAAGAAAAGTCTTAAATCACTTGTGAGGGCAACGTAATTTTGAATTGTTGTTAAAAGAATGGTTGTAAGTCAAGGAACACCTCTACTATTTGAGTGATCTATTTCTACTTGTTTTCAATTTGTGAAGATAACACTAATAATTTCTCTGTCTAAGATGTTCATGGGTTGTAGTTTTTTCAAAATGTTTTAAAAAATGTAGTTTACTACTTAACAGTTCTTTTTTTCTGCAGCTCATAAGTTTGAATGTATTGTAACCTCCCTAGAAAACCTTTGAACTGGTTAGAATTTTTTAAACAGCAGTAAATCTGGGCCGAATATGGAGTCTGTTTCCATTCCAAGCAGTTGTTGAAACAATTCTTAAATTTTCAGATTTGTTTATTTGCTTGCTTGCTTGTCTTGTCCTGTACTCTCTTCTTTTCTGTGCCATATGTTTATAGATGTTTTAGCTTCTTTGTAGATATGTTGAATTTTGTTCTATCTGCATGCTTCTTAAATTTCAGAAGATTTTCCCATCTTTCCGACCACACTTATCCATTTTAGTCATTTTGAATGATAGTTATAATGAGATAGATCCAAAACAGTCCCAAAAATATGGAAGATACTGGGTTGGAAAGAGATGGTTAAAGTATTTAGAATTGCAACATTTATTTTTGGACAACAAAACATTTTTTAAATAAATAGTATTTATGAAGGTTATAAAATATTTATGCTGGCAATATAGTCTTACGCTGCAGTCTTTTTTGTCAATGAGTCTATTAGCCAAATTATACTACTTCTGAGGATGTGGTATAGGATTGCATAGTTTATGAATGTACTTATAAGCACTCATCTATCTTTCTCAAGTTCATAATGGGATAAAATTCATATAAGATAAACTATTTCAGAGGAAATAATTTGAAATAAAATACTTTATGTCTGTTTTTAATAACTTATTTTCATTTCCATTTTTATTTTTCCTAAAAAGCTAATTAACTTCTAACTTACCTTTTCAATAGCTATGTTTATTATGGTCTTTTACAGCACCAGGCAATGAAAAGACACGGTGAAGCTTGGGCTGAAAGTCTCCGCTATAGGAGACCTGATTTTGATTGTATGGCTGGCTTGAGGCGCATCAGTCTCAACTGCAATGCGCTTATTGGTGATCGAGGTGCTGCTGTTTTAGCTGATTGCCTTGCCGAAGATCTGTGGCTAAAAGGTATGTTTTGTAGATTTAGTTCTGAATGTGTTTATTTTTCTATTTTACTGATCAGTAATTCAATTTTTAAAATGTCAAACTGCTGTTTTTCCAAGTTATTTAAAGGTCTAATACTATTCTTTTAATATAGTTCAAGTTTATTATACACTTTTTAATGACATGTTCTAGCTCTCAGATTTATGTGGACTGCTTTTTAAAATGTATCTTAACACAATTACTATCTTTTCTAATTTTTATTTTTTTAAGACTGTATGTAAAAACTGAATTCTAAAGGGTTTATCCTCACCTGCAAGTAACATGTTATGTGTGTAAGATTGTAAGTCCAAAGAATTTTGCTTCTGAGGTGGGTTATGCACATACGTATGGATTTATGTACTGTTACAACAAGACGTGAATGGAAAGTAATGTCTTGAGTGTTACAAGTTGCCAACTGATGGCACTATTGATATGCTTGAAGCTCTGGTGTGTGTTTTTAGCATCTGCTCTTACACTACACTTGGTGAAATTGCTGTGAGGAAAAGTTGTGCTTCTATTGTTCGTGAAATGGAAACATATAGTGAGTTCTTGTCAGTGCTTTAACCTATGCACCATCATAAAATCCATGTGGAGATCAATACTGACCATTCTGGCTTGTATCATTATAAAGAGTGCATTATCAATCTTAAGAGAGCCTTAAATAAAATTAATCAGGAAATTATTATCAAACAATGCTAAGTGAAAGTCATATGCAACCATAAAACTGACAAATTATCGATGTGATGGAGACTGCAGATTATAGTATTAAAGTAATTTATTTTTTCTTTGAATTGTAATTGTGTTGATAGATGATGGCAGAAATAATCTATTTGTTTTATAGACATTGGTGCTTAAATATTCATAGAACATGTGGTGTATTAATGTCAGCTCTCTATTATTCAAGCACTTGATTTGCAGCAATGTGGAATTAGCAGTGAAGGGGCAAAATCACTTTTGGATTCATTTAAAACTAACAGAACATTGGTGGTTCTGGACATCAGAAAAAATCCATTAGTAGGTATGTCTGCTTCTATTTCTTTTTTCTGAAGGTTTAAAATGATTAAAATTGAAATTCTGTTTTATCTGGAATTTATAACGCACACAGCATTTTCTTTATTATAAAATAATGTTGTTCGGGATGTGCAAATCATTCCATGCATAAACAGTTTCATACACAGTTGGTTTTGGGTAGTCTGGCACACATAGAAAATTGTTCTACACCATTTATTCTCAGAATATACTAAAACTTGTTCTGAAGAGGAGTGATTAGATAAGGGGGAAAGAAGGAAAAAGTCAAGTGAGGATTTCCTTGGCAGTTGCATATATAGACATTCCCAGTGGCAGCAGGAAAAGACGGAATTGAAATAATGGGGGATAGGCAGATTTATGAGATATACAGTACCTCACTTCCACATTGGTAATGGTGAAGGTAGGGGAACTGAAGAAGAAGATGGCTTGGGAAGAGAAGGTACTGAGAATATGGGGTTGGGGGGGAAAGGAACAATGCACAGATTGTGTGGAGAAGAAAGAGGGAGAAATGCATTCTACACTTACTGCACTCACACTATTGAGTTCCTCCTAGCTTTTAGTTTGCCTGGTTCTGCCAAGCTACAGTTATTTTAGAACTTTCAGAATATAATGGTTTCTTTCAGGTTCAGAACAAAGATTTTTATTTTCGTATACTCTTATTTTTATTTTTTACACTTTCCTTCAATTTCAGAGTAATAAAAATCAGGGCTTAGTTTATAACTTTCCTTTTGAAAAGCAACACCAGAAGATTACTTCAAATATGCCTAGAAAAAGATATTGCCAAAAAAAGCCCAAAATTTAGTAGAGGATTTAAAATTTAAACATGTTGAAGAAGCGTAATTACTACTTTTAACGACAACCCATTCTCATTAGGCTTTCAAATCTTTTCTCCCAAGGTACTTTCTTATGGATTTCTGTTGCTAGTTTCTGTAGAGCTGTACTGTATAGTGTTTCAGACGTAAATGCAAAATGCAGTATTGCTTTTTAGTGCCTGTCTGCAATGCATAAATTCACCAGAATCATTTCCTGAGGTCACTTGGCTACAGCGCAATGGGAGAAGATAACATTTGATTTGAGGAATTGCAGTCAACATTATATGTTTATAACCCTCATATGCTGCACAGCTATCTAGAGAAAGATGAAGAGCCCACATCTGACTTGTCTGTCACAATAAATTTATGCTATGTGTTTTCTGACAGCAAGAATTGATTGTCATCATAATTGGTTGTGAAAAATTGGTTCAAAACCAGTATGTGGGTTAACCTCTTTTCTTTAGATAGCAAGAACAGCATTGAACTCAAGTATATGCATGATATTCTACCTACTGTAAAAAAAAAGTAGGAAATAAACATTTAATAATGGGAGTAGAATAAACAAACATTACCTTAACGAACCCTGGAATTTTCTTCAATACTAAACTACTGAGGGCAGTAAATAAGGCTTATCTTTTCTTGCACTGTTGTTTAAAAAGTAGTTTCTTTTGAAATTTAAGCATTAATATATTACATTTTGAATCTAAACTATATATAAGAATTAACTAATTATGTATGAATAGTTCTCTCACAATAATACAGGTAGTCCTTGACATACGACAGGTCACTTAGTGACTGACGTTACAACAGATCCTGAATAGCTATTTATAAGGTTTAAAAGGTTTAAAAGTTATGGCTTCTGCAGTGCCCCATGATCGCATGAAGAAAATTTGTCCTTACCACTTAGGGATGCTGCAATGGCCCCTTCACCTATTGTATCTCTCCCTCATCCTGCCCTGCTAAGTTCTTGTAGGCCTTTTGCCTGCTTCCCGCTCTACTGAGTCTCACAACCTCCTCCACCTTCTTGCCACCAATTGTTCACTTACCTTTTGTAGAGCTCTGGTACTTGTGTGGAGGAAGGAAAACAGGCCACTTTGCCCCTAAGTATGCCTAGGCCATGTGGCTTTGTCCCAGAAGTGGGCACCATTTTTGGAGAAGCTGCAATGAATTGTAGCTTCTCTAAAAGTTGTGCCCATTTCTGAGACAACACCATGTGGTGTGCAGGGATGCTGAGGGACAGGAAGTGGGGCATCAGGTGCTTTAGGGAGTGGGAGAGGGCAGCCTGTACTCTGCTTAATGCTGAGTGGCGGTGGAGTGGGGATCATAAAGCGAGGTGTTCATGTAGGTGCTTCACTTAACAACCATCCATGACTTGCAACCATAGTGGGTAAGCTCTGTTCTGGTTGTAATTTAGTTGTAACTAAGAGCAGAAAGTATATGATGCAAGCATTAACTTTTTATTATTCTATCTTTGTAGATCATGCTTTAATGAAGAAAATAATTGAAAAGGTTCTCATGAATGCCAATGGCACTAACTTGGAGGTATAAGCTAAATATTTTTCATTATTACACTATTAATATAATGAACATAAAATAATGCAACATGTTTCTACTAGCCTTTGCTCTTGCTTAAATTGTAGTAGGTTCCTCTGTATTTTTTACATTGGAACTCTTACATGTAGTCTTCAATTTCTGACCAGAATTGAGCCAGAATTATGGTTGTAATTTGTTGCAGTCATTAAGTGAGTCACCATGAGACTGCCCAATTTTACTACCTTTTTTGCAGCAGTCATTAAGCAAATCTGTTTTATCCACTGAGCATTCTTTGTCAGAAATAAAGGCCAGCAACTTGCAACAAACATTGAAAATTGCAGTCACATGATCATGGAACACTGCAAATGGCTATAAAGGCAAGCTGAATGCCAAGCAACGAAAATGCAATCATGTGATTGCAGGGTGGATTATGGCTGTTGTAACTTCAAAATTGGGTTGGAAGTATCTTTTGGGGGTCTATTGTAACTTTGAATTGCCATTAAATGAGGATCTCCTGTATAAGAACTTTATTTTTCAGTTTGTTCAAGGGTGCATTTTTCCTGATCTTGAGACAGTTACTTCTATTCAAGTAAATTTTGCATAGTTATTGATTATTTTCTATCAATATCAATTCTGTTATCTACTTCCTAATTTTTCAGTCTGTAATTCAAGATTGAGACTCAAAGTTGTTCCAGTCCTAAAGCACAGCATGATGCCATCCATTTGTTTCAATATAGATTTATATAATATTGGTGCTGTAGGAAACCTGTGAATTTCATAGTACAGAGATAATATTCTCAGCAACTTGCTATTTACAAAACTCAACATAAAAGAATTGCATCTGGCATTTGACATGATTTTTCCACCTGCTATCTTAGTGGTTCGTGTTTGTCAGTAAGCAAAAGAGCTGTTGTGGGTCAGACTAAAATTCAAATTATGTGATGACAGAATAACAAGAAGGTTAGAGTTTGACCAAATTTATTATTACTGTTTTTTCTGCAAAGTAGTAGCCATGGAAATCAGTAGGTGAAGGAACCTCTTGTGGATTGTCTGCAAAGTAATCAAAATAGGTCAGATATTAATGCATGTATTTAGACAACTGTTTAGTCTAAATGTATTTGATTGTGCTTAAATGGATAATTTACCAGTAGAGAATGTTTTGTAGAAAAGGATACTGTCCTTGAATTGAGTATAACTACAATGCAAATTGTAGAAGTACTATTTTCTATAATCTATTATTAATGTAGCCTAAAATTGCATTTGACTGACCTTGAACTTCTGATCAACTATAAGATCCTTTTTATCAGCCAGAGATCCCCTACTCTACAATTGTATAATTTTTTACCTAAATGAAGAACTTTTGGTTCTTTTACATTTAATTCTGGATCGGCATGCTTCTTTTATCTATCAAAATTATTTTGATTTTTTGTCTGTTTTTTATAGCCATCCCACCCAAACTATTAAAGGAACAAATTTATTAATAGAGAAGAAGGTGTTTTTTAATTAGTTCTATCCTAAAGCCTCTTTAGTAATTGCATGTTACTTATAGTTTGAAGTAACTATTACTAAAACAAAATATCTGCTGTTTCCTTTGCCTGCTATTCTAGTACAAGTGGCTTCCTTCTCCAGTCTCAAAAGATGTTAAAAACAAACCCAAAAAAAGAACAGTTGTCTTGGGAAATGGCAGAAAAGGAAAAGCTACTATACGTATTGGTAATTATTTTATTTATTTTTATATGAGTTAATATATAAATTCTTTTATTATATCAGCGAGTTGCTATTCTCTTATACCAGGGTTCCCCAAACCCTGGTCCATGGACCAGCACCAGGCCACAGCATGCCAGAAACTGGGCCGCACAAACAAGCGAAGCCCCACCCACAGAATACACATGAACCCATGCCCCCTCCGGTCCACGGAAAAAACACTCTCCACAGAACTGGTCCCTGGTGCCAAAAGGTGGGCGCTGCTGTCTTATACCAGTAGAAGAAAATAGTTGAACTGTGGGGTCCTTGGTGCTCTCTGAGGTTGGTTCTTTATTTGCAGACATTTCATTAACAAACTAGGTAATATCACCACTGTTCTTATTCTCTTATACATTTATAACAACTTAAAAACAGTGAAATTAAACAAATTGTTAGTAGTTTCTTAATGAATGCCCAAATAAACTGACAATAATTATTTGATACATGTAATTTGTTTACCTGATTTTTTTAACATTTAGAAATCACAAGAAAATATGATCTAATTTTGTTGTGATTAATCTCATTAGTCAGTGTGTTTCAACCAAATAAAAAGTCAGCTCTGATAGCTCTCTGTGAAGGTACAAAACTATGTCAACAACTAAGAGAGCTAATGTATTTCTAAAGCTCCAAAATTTACAAAATACAATTTAAAGTATTTAAATTAGTATTTGTTCTATCGTATGATAATTGTGGTCAACCTGAATAGAAATATGAATACTTTTCATATATGCTACATAGGAACAAACAATCCAGTTATAGGCTGATAGTGGCATATCTACCCATACATTAAAGTAAGGAAATTGTACTTTTATACAGTTAATAAATTTTACTAGATTTTAAATATGCAGTGAATGCTTGCTTTACTCAATTTACCAATGATTGTCGAAGCCTATTCTTGGCTATTTCTGGAAATTTAGATAAAACATATCTTATTTTTTTATTACTACTATGCTACTCCTTCCCCTCTATATAAGAATGTGCAAATTTACTGAGAAATAAGTCCAGCTATGTTGTTGTTCTATCTGGCCTTGGCCTTTTCATTCTGTAAAGTAGATGAAGCTGTCTTTTAAACTGGAGACTAGATCTCTGGCATTTCAGAGTGAATTCCAAAAAGAAAGTCCAAAGTATGTAGGAGTCTGATTGTAATATTTGTGGTAACTTTTTAAAGCAGCTACCTGTTTTCTTGGGATAGCATGGTTGCCCTCACCAGCTGCAAATGATTTTGAGAAAAGAAATACTTTAAAACTGTGTGGGAAGATGCTACATTTGTGTTCCTGTCAACCACAAAGCACCTTTTTGTGTATGAATCTCAAATGCTACCTATTCTTAATTAAGAATTTTATAAAATGTTCTCTGTTTTAAGCCTAGTTTGGATATATGTTGAATTACATGTATATTAAATATCACCTTGTCATCTGATAATGGAAGCATTTCAATATTATTCGGAAGCCCGAGTATCTATATACATTGATAAACATTAATACATATAGCTCTCATTGTGTATATGTATCTATATTGGTTCTGTAATTTAAAATTCTAAATATTATAAGACAAGATTGATTCTAATGTACAAAGGAAAAACAAACCTTGCAATACCCTACTCTCTACTGAAAGTACTGAGTATTAGCTTCATTCAAGAAGTCTTAGCAAGTTAGTCACTGAAATTTCATGTTATAAATGGAAAGTATCTAGACTATGCTTTCATGGTTGATTTTTCCTGTTTGGCTATTTTTTTCTGCTTTCGCTTCAGTAATTTGGAGACACAGAGGTAAGCATACAAAATGAGATTTTTGGAGCTAAAACTGCAGTCCTGTATTCAGTTTGGAATGAAACTAATTGGAAACCTTTCTTCTGTAACTCTGCATATTATTTATTATATTGTCACTATCAAGTGTGAAAATATTGTCCTGTGCATCAAAAAGAGTGTTTTAAGCTCATAACATTTGCATAATGCTTCAAATGTCCCACTTCATGAAGTTTCACACCTGAAAAAGTTTGAAATGAAACATTTTGCACATTCTGATTATAATAGGCTGAACATATGTACACTGTGCATTGTTTTTATTGGGAATTTAGAATCACATTACCATGTTCTAATGACTATAATATATATTGCATCTGTATTTAAAACATGTAGCTAATGTAGAGGAAGGTCATTAGTCATATGATGGCAAAAAAATGAAGTACTCTGCCCTTTTATAAAAATGTTAGGAAAATGTGTTAGAAAATTGTTATGCTTTCTAATAATATTCGTTAGACTATGGATAAAATATTGTTTATAGTTGCTATAGGGTGTGATATTGTTCCTTGGTATTTTAATGTTTTATAGTGTATCTTAACTGTATATTCGTATTCCACTTCAAATCACCTTAGAAAATTTCCTTTTCTTTTGCAATATACAAGATGCATGAAAAATCAGGCTCCCTAAACTTTATTATATAAATTAATTAATATTCAAATTGGTTATCATTTTCTTCTAAAATATACCTTACTCATTTGACATATGATCTTGAGTGTTCCTCAGTATGTCTGATTAGAAGCATGAAAGAAAACCTCAAGCAAATTAATAGTAAATTCTGCAAAATCAAATTGCTTTTCAGCCTTGTCCAATCTGGCATCTTCCAGATGTATTGACTCTAGAGAGTATCAGTTTGGGTCACTGGGAAGAATTATGTATCAAGAAGATAATTCCATTATCATTTCTATGGCTATTGTTAAAGGTGGTAGCTTCCAATTGTTGAATATTAAATCTAGAGTTTGTGGAATGAAATAGTTTCTTGGTAGATTGAATAGCATTTTAGACGACCGGGTTTACAGTAGAAACTCAATGCTATCCATATTCTCCAATCTAAAAATTCAACACCTGTTTATGATGGGTTATTTGAAAGTATCCTTTCTTTTGCTTGGTGCAGGATTTTCATCAAAAAAATCACTCAGTTCTAGTAAGACAACTTTATGGGATCAAGACAACTATGCTCCAAAGCCATTACCCCCAGGGACACATGGTTTCCTGCCCTGGCGTACTGCTGAACGTGCAAAGCACCATAGGTAATGTATACTGAAAGTGCTGTGTGTGTGTGTGTGTGTGTGTGTGTGTGTGTGTGCATGTATGCATGCATGTATATATATTATATGTATATATGCATATGTACAGTATATGTGTGTGTGCGTGTGTCTGTGTGAACAGAAAAATATAGTTTTGAAAATAGTTCTTCAGGCTGTCTCTGCTGCCACATGTATAGTTGTGGTTTTGAAAAACTGAATTCACAAAATACATCTAAGAAATAGTTTCACAGAATGATTGTAACTAGACTCTAACCTTCAGTCCAATATTAAGAGTACATGCACTCAATCAAAGAAATTAAAAATAATAATCCTACCACTGAAATATACTTCGGCTAGAATAAAAAATTAACAGATAAGAATTAAACATTTATTAAAATCCCACCAAAGGAATAACATCAATATAAACCACAATATTTTTACAAATACAATATAAACTTATACAATTATAAAAACCCTAAATCCTATCTGCTAGACCAGATTTTATTGCAGTCATTTGCCAGAGTTCCTCTAAAAGCAAAATAAAAGTTTATACCATACAAAAAAAAACAAAAGCTATATAGTTGTCATTAGATCATTGTGAATTTAATAGACAATGAAACAGACTTTGGCCATATTCAAAGAAATGGTCAGTTAAGAAAATGGATCTGAATTGCTTGAAAAAGAAGTTAACGATACGCAATTGTATGTCTTTATAAAATACATAAATCATCTTCTGTATGTCACATCTCTGTTAAAATTGAACCTCTTATGTTAAATCTTAAAAGTCTTAATTCTTTCACCCAAATCCACTCAGTCACTTCTCTTTCTCCACCGGAACAATAGAGCACCCAATTCTGGTACAGTAAATTTGGCATTGAGTCATTTGACATTCAGTTGATAAGGTTGTTGCTTCTCTGATTCTGGCTGGAAATAATACGGATAAAAGGCAGTCTGCTGAAGACAAAAATAATCTTTCATGATCCATACCTCATCGTCCTTACCAAATTTTTGACAATCTGATGTTTAAGAAATATGGCTTTTTTACATTGCATTCTATAGCTAAGGTTTTTTTTTTTTAAAAATCTTTACGTGGAGATCTGCATTTATAATAGATAGTGATGGGCTGATGATCCTAAAGGTGAGAGATTCTTATAGGTATTGAGATATATCCATGATCAAAGTCTTCTGACAAAATGGGATTTACTTTAGTGTATTGATAGATTTAAATCTTTCGCTACTGCAAATGTATTTTGTTTTTAAATCTTTTAAAAACATTTATCTTGTTTTAGGGCTTCATCTACAAAAAATGCCCATGAATTTCCATTGCAGATACAGGTAAGTAAAATGAATCCTAATCAACAAATTAAACCTTTTAATTGAATTTTTGAAGAGCATTTCATTTTAACAACTGTTACATTATTGACTGTTTATTATCAACTTTGCCAATATTGCCAAATATTATATAATTTATTGATAAAGTGGGACTTTTAGAATTAGAACTAATACAGTTATATTTGCTTGATATACTCAGACGGGTATTCCTGTGACAGTGACTGTAGAAAGTGCTTCTGCATCTGAAACTGAAACAGAGGGTGCCATGGACAATGTCATTTGCAGAAAGGATACAGAATCCTCCAAATTAACCAATTTAAAACATTGGCATCAGTTACAGGTATGGTTATGCAATCAAGTTTGGCTTAAAAATTTATAAAGCAATTACTAAATAAATAGCAATATTATGGAAATTATCCCAGTAAGATTGCAGTAACCTTTAAAAAAATATAGATCTTAGATGAGATGTAGAAGTTTAATAAATAGTAATATCTTCATTTCATTTAATCTTGGAATGGAGTTACAAAATTACACAATTTGGAATAGTGAGTTTTCCTGTGATATTTTAAGTGAAAGAATACACATATAAATACTGCTTAATTGCTAGGCAAAGACACGTGGTTCTTTTTCCTCCTGGACTGTCAAAACTCATTGTAATGGAACTTGTGGGTGACTTTGGGGGGAAAGGGGAAGAGATGCTGTCTAGGAAGGGGAAAGAAGGCCTGGGTGGGCCACGAATGAAGGCTTTGGCTCTATCTGCATGCACGCACGCGCGCGCGCACGCACACACACACACACACACACAAAGTGACATGAAAGAAGACCCACACCACTACAATAGTGGCATACAAGCAGAACCAGATAGCAGGAGCAGCTGGCAGCAGTGGTAAGCAAGTGGCCAAAAGGCAGTGGTAAATGTGGGTGGGCCCGAACTTTGTTAATATAACTTTAAGGGTGCTCTATAGGTGGAACTCTGAGGACCGCTCGTAAGCCATTCAAACTTTGAATAGTTGCTGAATGAATGGACATTAAGGGGGTACTGTAGAGATACCCATAGAAGAATGTGTTGAGGACCAGCATTGTTTTATCTTCACCCTTTTTATGTTTTCTATAACATCACACGCATAAATAAAACAGGCAGGATGCAGCCTTGCTTTTGTCATTTTGATGAAAGTCTCTGATCTGTAGTCCCTTTTGTTTATGCATATCCCGTTTAGAATCTATGTCTTGATATTTAAATACACACTTATAGTCTTTAAAATTATCTTTTATTAAATTATTGATCTATTTAGTTTTCTCTGCTGACAGTCAATCTCCTTCGTGTGGGACGTTTTAAATCAATACTTGTAATATTTTCAAGGTTGCACCTGGGACCTCTGTACAAGTAAAGTATATGGACTTTACCACTGAACTTCTTTTTTCTTCTTTTTAAAGAGAACGAATCAGTTTTTCTTCTATTTTTATTTTTATTTTTTAATCTATGGATTAAAGTCTTCTTTATTTCAACAAGGACTTTTATTTCTTGCTATTAATTCCATTTAAGAACTTTGTTTCTTTTAAGTTTGAAATAACATTACAGAGGGGGAAGCAATTCTGCCACTTGGAAACTGGAGGCTTGAGTTATTGAAACAATGCACTTTCCCTTTTCCTTTTGATCTCACTGACTTTGTATCTTGAGGCACTGCAACTTGTTTATAGAAAGTGACAAGATGAGATGATGT